GCACCTCCTGCCCAGACCCCTCCCCAGAACAAAGCACCTCCTGCCCAGACCCCTCCCCAGAACAATGCACTTCCTGCCCAGACCCCTTCCCAGAACAATACACCACCTGCCCAGATCCACTTTCTAAAACAGTGTCAGATAGTCCACATACCTTTCTCCATGAGATGGCGGGGAAGGGGTCTCCAGCAGCAGCACAAGGAATCAGCAGCTCCCTCCCAGCCTCTTGTCTATACTCCCAGCCGGGCAGCACCGTGAAATAGGGCGGGTCCTAAGGGGATGGAAAATGGCGTGAAAAGAATATGAGACGATCCGTCAGGAGTTTATTTAAGGAAAGCGGATCGGAAAATACAACCGCGGCCATGAAGCTTCAACAGGCCGAGGAGTTCATCAGACGAGTTCATTTCTAAGTGGAGATTTGTAGGTAAGAGGGACGAAGGGAGCGGGCACGGCCGCCGGAAAGTACTCATACATAATTGATGTCAGATCCATATAACGGTGCGGAGACTCGGATGTTGCACATTGCTGCTCCACATTAAAGGCGGCAGACATTTGCCGCTTCTCTACACACCAGTTCCAGGAACCTCATCCCTCTAATGGAAAACAATCTGCTGCCTTTCACCTCACAAGAATCACAAAGCTTTCATGACATTTCCTGCCCGCCCCCAACTCAGAAATACAATCTGCAATTAAGTGTCCTAATAAACTCTCTATGGGGCCCTCTATCTATGTATAGGGGCCCCAGATTAAAGTGACATCAAACCCTCAGATTTTTTGACATAAAACAATACTGTAGTGTGTGACTTACTGTAATCCATGGTAGTTTCCCTTCTCTTTGCTGCTCTTCCTTTTAAATCTGTATCTGTTCTCATGCTGGGGGAGAACTTCTGTTTGGCAGCAGACTGCCTTGTCTCTGGAATGGATACATGGTGTCTGTGTATAGATTTGTATAGGCTTGTAACCTGAGCCAGCACTACAGGAAGAGGCCCTGAGCTGAAAAGGGAAGTTCTCCCCCAGCATGAGAAGACATGAGGATTTAAAAGGAAGAGCAGCAAAGAGAAGGGAAACTACCATGGATTACAGTAAGGCGCACATTACAGTATTGTTTTATGTTACACAATCTGAGGGTTTAATGTCACTTTAAGCTGGAGTGTCCCTAACCCCTCCAGCTTAATCAGCATCCAGCCTGAGCTTTGTTTAGGTTCTCTGGGATCATTTGGTGTCTTCTAAGCTCAGGACATTGATTGCTTCTGTCTGGTTTTGGGGAGTTTTCGGCCTCATTCACACACAACGCAAGACCAAAATTGTATATTGCGTATATATACGCGTATGTACCTGCGTATATGCGTGCTCTATGCGCAATCCCAGAATGCATCACTCTTAATGGAATTTTTCATGTGCTGTAGGCGTATACATGCGCGTAAATACGCAGCCCGGACGCATCTCGGTTCCATTCTGTTTTTGCGCATGTTTACGCTACGCAAATATACGGCTCCATGCGCGGCTGCGTGTATGGAGCCATTTATTTGCATGTGGGACAATAATCGCGTATATGTGCGGCAGTGTGAATGAGGCCTTCTCCATTAGACAGAACGAGAAGATACACTGTATCGGCTTATGAATATTCTATCTTGGCCAATCACCGAGGGGCTATTCCATGATGCGAGCTGAGGAAGGGGATACATATTTGGGGTGACCTTCTAGAACAGGGGCGCCCACAATTTTTCGTCTGGAGATCTACTTTTCAAATGACGAGCTCAATGAGATCTACTAACAAAAAGCACCTGCGTTCAGGGTTGGGAGGGGGCGTGACAGCGCATTGAAGTCAATGGCACCGCAGCCACGCCCCCCAGTGCAATCGCCAGCACCCGGAATACAGGCAGATTAGTGCTGCGTGCGCTATTTTTGCAGATCGCACTGGAGTGGAACGCAGGCATTAATGTGCCTGTGTTCCGGATGCGGGTGATCACAAGTGACAGCGCATTGAAGTCAATGGCACCGCAGCCACGCCCCCCAGTGCAATCGCCAGCACCCGGAATACAGGCAGATTAGTGCTGCGTGCGCTATTTTTGCAGATCGCACTGGAGTGGAACGCAGGCATTAATGTGCCTGTGTTCCGGATGCGGGCGATCACGCTTAGGGTGGGAG